CTGAGTGTCTGAGGTCCCGAGTGTCTGAGGTCCCGAGTGTCTGAGGTCCCGAGTGTCTGAGGTCCCGAGTGTCTGAGGTCCCGAGTGTCTGAGGTCCCGAGTGTCTGAGGTCCTGAGGGTCTGAGTGTTTGAGGTTCTGAGGGTCTGAGGTCCTGAGTGTCTGAGGTCCTGAGTGTCTGAGGTCCTGAGTGTCTGAGGTCCTGAGTTTTTTTAAAGGTCTTGTTTTTCCTGCTTCAATTGAAATAAGTGAGGGGGGCAGATGGCACAGAAGTGGGAAGTGGGAGGGACATGTCCCACCATGTACCTATGGTGGTTACACCCATCATGGTTTGAGGATCTGAGGACCTGAGGTCCTGATTTCAGCTGAATTAGTGGCACCTCACTGAGCAGACCCCTAACTGTGGATGAGTTAGTCTCCATTTGTGCAGCTGGCAGCTTCGCTCTGGGGGTCCAGGTCTCTGAAAGAGCTGAAATGTGTTGGACCATCAGACTCGGACAGAAACAGAGACCTGTCACGCAGAGACCATCAGCTGCTGTTTAAAAGACCTGTTTTCAGTCTGGACCCACTCAGGGTGATTTTCCTATGATTGACAGCTGTCTGGTCCACAGTTGATTGACAGCAGCTCTGTGCTCTGACGAAGCCCGCTAGGTTTTATATTTAGAGTCTGCAGAACCTCCTGGACCTCCATGCTTCACTGCTGTTGGATGAGTTGTGCAGCGTGTGATGGTTGGAGCTGCAGTTGTTGTTTAAAACAGCTCAGAGGCTGAGTTTACTCAGACTGACTGACAGACAGAGCTTTACTTCCATCAGCTCAATGTGCTGATGCAACTGTGGTTGTTGTTGTCAGGTGTCTGTGGTTGTTGCTGACAGGTGTCTGTGGTTATTGTTGTCAGGTGTCTGTGGTTGTTGCTGACAGGTGTCTGTGGTTGTTGTTGACAGGTGTCTGTGGTTGTTGTTGACAGGTGTCTGTGGCTGTTGTTGTCAGGTGTCTGGTTGTTGTTTTCAGGTGTCTGTGGTGGTTGTTGTCAGGTGTCTGTGGTTGTAGTTGTCAGGTGTCTGTGGTGGTTGTTGTTAGGTGTCTGTGGTTGTTGGTGTCTGTGGTTGTTGCTGTCAGGTGTCTGTGGTTGTTGCTGTCAGGTGTCTGTGGTTGTTGCTGTCAGGTGTCTGTGGTTGTTGCTGTCAGGTGCCTGTGGTTGTTGTTGTCAGGTGTCTGTGGTTGTTGTTGTCCGGTGTCTGTGGTTGTTGTTGTCCGGTGTCTGTGGTTGCTGCTGTCAGGTGTCTGTGGTTGCTGCTGTCAGGTGTCTGTGGTTGTTGTTGTCAGGTGTCTGTGTTTGTTGCTGTCAGGTGTCTGTGGTTGTTGCTGTCAGGTGTCTGGTTGTTGTCAGGTGTCTGTGGTTGTTGTCAGGTGTCTGTGGTTGTTGTCAGGTGTCTGTGGTTGTTGTCAGGTGTCTGGTTGTTGTCAGGTGTCTGTGGTTGTTGTCAGGTGTCTGGTTGTTGTCAGGTGTCTGTGGTTGTTATTGTCAGGTGTCTGGTTGTTGTCAGGTGTCTGTGGTTGTTGTTGTCCGGTGTCTGTGGTTGTTGTTGTCCGGTGTCTGTGGTTGTTGCTGTCAGGTGTCTGTGGTTGTTGTTGTCAGGTGTCTGTGGTTGTTGTTGTCAGGTGTCTGTGGTTGTTGCTGTCAGGTGTCTGGTTGTTGTCAGGTGTCTGGTTGTTGTCAGGTGTCTTTGGTTGTTGCTGTCAGGTGTCTTTGGTTGTTGCTGTCAGGTGTCTGTGGTTGTTGCTGTCAGGTGTCTGTGGTTGTTGTTGTCAGGTGTCTGTAGTTGCTGCTGTCAGGTGTCTGTAGTTGCTGCTGTCAGGTGTCTGTGGTTGTTGCTGTCAGGTGTCTGGTTGTTGTCAGGTGTCTGTGGTTGTTGTTGTCAGGTGTCTGTGGTTGTTGTTGTCAGGTGTCTTTGGTTGTTGCTGTCAGGTGTCTGTGGTTGTTGTTGTCAGGTGTCTGTGGTTGTTGTTGTCAGGTGTCTTTGGTTGTTGTTGTCAGGTGTCTGTGGTTGTTGTTGTCAGGTGTCTGTGGTTGTTATTTTCAGGCATCTGTGGTTGTTGCTGTCAGTGCCCCATTTCAGAAAGCAGGATAAGTGGAAATCCTGAGTAAGTTCTGGGGTAACTCCGTTCATATTCTGAGTTTTCAGTTTCAGAAAGCCAGATAGCAGTTATCCTGAGTTAACTTACCCCCACAACTTACTCTGTGAACCAGCCCTGCTCTGTAGCAGGATTACTGGAACATATCCTGGGTTAGTCTGACCTTTTAGCTGAGATCCAGCATGAGGAAAGTGTCAGGCAGAGCGTGTCCTTTTCCAAAGGAGCCTGTAGATGTTGAAGGGTAATAATCCACAGAAATTTATGTAGAGAGGGATAAGACCAAGCTTAGACATCTTGTCATTTCTGGATGAAAATCAGAGAATTTTCAGATGTTTTTAATTGCTTAGGTTTCAATCTTTTCCTTCAAGTACAGCTTGTAGTTGTTTCACAGGAGGATTTAGAGGTAGAAAAATGTTAATTTAAAGGGATCCTTGATTAGTTATAACATTAGACTTTATTTGATAAACATGTTTTAAATGTAAAGACTGTAAAAATAATGTAGGCTGCTTAGTTTTGTCAATTTTTAAAAATATATTTTAACACGGACGGAGCCATTTTATTTACACGCAAAGCATACCTAGACCTACCTGATTTGACTGTTTTATATGTTGTCTTTATTTGCATAGTTGTAAAGTAACTAAGTACAAATACTTCTTTACTGTACTTAAGTAGAATTTTTGGGTATCTGTACTTCACTTGAGTAATTATTTTTCAGCCTATTTTTTACTTCTACTTCTTACATTTTTTAAAAAAGGCAAGAAGTAGAAAGTTGTTACTTTATTTCATTTTTGCTTTTCATTCCAGCTTATTGGAAAAAAATTATTCTATCCATGTAAATTGTGCCTCCTAGGTAGAGTGAATTTAATTGGTTTAATGAGAAGTATAAATGTCTAAACTTCTGACATCGTATTAGTTTGTACACAAACAAATCATGTCACACTCCAGCAGGACATAATCATTAAAATAAAAGGACTGTACTTAACAAGTATTTGTATTTCATTAATTATATTATTGCATTTGGCCGCAGCCCTTGGGTAGATTTTCATTTTGGGCAAAAGGTTTGGTCACCCTTGATATACAGTATGTATATAAACTGAAACAACTAAATTAGTGCATCCTAAATTTAACATAAATTAATTATTTTAATACAACAGTCATTTCTGCATTTTTGGTGGGGAGGTCACCTCCTGATAAATGTCATTACAGAAAATGTAACTGCTCATTTTAAATCAATACTTTTACTTTTAATACGTAAGTACAAAAAGTATCAGATACTTTAAGACTTTTACTCAAGTAATATTCCTAAAGGAGACTTTAACTTTTACCAAAGAAATTTTTTGCTAAGATACTTGTACTTTTACTCAAGTATCACTTTGTGGTACTTTATACAACTTTGCTGCCATGTCTGTTTGATACAAGCTGGGTTCACCTATACACACATTTAATTATTTGATACACACACACACACACACACACACACACACACACACACACACA